TCTCACTTACTGACAGTACAAGCTGATATTAAATGAATTGGGTGTAATGTGCCAGAAAATGTATGAGCAAGCCTCATGTTAATAAAGGAACAGAAGCCAAGGAATTGTGACCTGGAAAGGCTGTCAAGCAGCGCTTCTTAGCTAAAGGGACTGAGTAGCATGTACAGTATTCGGACCCCACAGGACAGGCAGCCCAGCATTCCCTGGGATCAAGCACTCGCACGAATATTAATAACACCATGAAAGCTGCTGGAAACTTTACAGATGTGCCTTCCTCCAAGCAGAACAACAAAATGTTGCAGAAGACAAACAGTCGACGCTGTCGGAAAACTGTGTCATTTACACTAACGGGAGCCTCTCCCAGTTTAAAACTGTCACTAAGCACAGCTGATAATAGACACGGAGCACAATGCAACAGTCAGGAACTAACACAGTTTGTCATGTTAAACTGGATTTTGTTTTCGCGAAAGAGACACCGACGAAAAGTTCTTAAAAACAAAACCGCAGGGAAATAGAACAACACGAGCCTACTGTTAAGAATGGAATCCAATGTGCTTCCTTCAAATGCAAAAGGAGAAAAAGATGTAGCCCTTTCTGTAGGAAACGGTGATACTTTCCTTACACAGAACAGTAGAGCTTTGGAATATAGCTGATGAGAGTAAACCCGTCTGCAACCTGGACCACAAATGCAGGGCAAAATTATCCAAACAGTGGCTGGAAATTCATGAAACTGCTTAAAATATAAAACTTAAAATAAATATGCCCACCAGGAATCAGTCCTGACACACTAGAGATTTCAAGATAAAATATACTGGCAGGTCTCTGTCGCATTAGAAAAAAAAACATTTCCATCACATGAACCTCAGATGAATTTGCATACAACTGACAAAAAAGTGCTTGTTCTTCAGCTAGGACCTATTTTAGTATTCACTTAAAAAAACAAACTGTAATAAGAATAAAGCATGTGAAACTAACTGTTTCGATGTTGGAAAGGGGTTCAGAAAGCTGAGTATTCGTTTGTGTGTGGGCAGAAAAAAAGCAAAAAAATATTGCTAGCATTACAGCAGAACCCTCTGTTTTTTCTACTTCTCACAGTCCATTTGCAACAGGCTACATTTTTGTACATGTCCTTCATTTTATGGAGTAGTTTTTTAGCACCACCAAGTGGACACCCATGAGAACTAACTCTGTAGTAAGGCAAGGACAATCTGCACTTGACTGCAATGTTTCAGACGTTCACTTTCAGAGCTCTTTACAAACCGAGTTTTAAAACTTTTAATAACAATTTAAACAAGAATTATGATCTGCTCATATATATTAACCTAAACTCTAAAAGAAAATCAGTGAGCACAACTGAGGTTTCAAAACTATTTCAGAGTTTAAATTATCAAGAAGCTTTATTCTAACTTTCACAATGTTTTGCAAACTTGTTAGAGAAACACAGACAACACATTACCTGCATTCTAACAGTGAGAGAGAGGTTGAACAAGTGACAGGTCTCTGCAAATGTATCTAGAACACGCTGTACAGTACAGAAAGGCTTATGATTACAAATGCTTTTATACAGGGTGTCACACAGCTCTGATTAAACACTTGGGAGCTTTTGGTGTGAAGCCTGTACATTCTCTCTAGGTCCAAAAGTATTTTCCAGGATCTCCAGTTGCGTCCAACCTTCCAATGACATTCTGCCTAGGTTAATCAGCATCTCTGAATTAAACCCGAGTGTGTCTTCCACAGTGGACCGGCGAATGGCCCAGTGGTCCAACATTATACTGATAATTAGTCAGTGGGAACTATTACCAGGAATAAGCAGCTTTTAAGATAACGAAGGGACGAACTTGCGTTAAATCTAAGCTTGCACACTGCTGTAAAACCACTTCCAGTAAGAATCGGGCTGTTGCAGAGCCCAAGGCTGCAAAACATATTGCACTTTCTGCAAGGAGACAATTACTAAATTTCTGACCATTTGTATTTGGTAAAGCAGAACCTGCTTTCGAATGAAAAATTCCGAGACTCAACAGAGCCCCCTGGTGGACAGAGTGTAAAGCTACTGCAGACTGTTTTCTGTGGGGAAAATGCACAAGTGCCCAATGATGCAATTACTGCTTACACCAGACCAGTCAAAGGGGGGTCTAAGTGTGAGGGTCTTTCCTGGAGGGTCCAATTAGTACAGAACTCCACTTGTTATTGATGGCAATCCCAACTGTAGGTACCCCACACTGATTAAGGCCCAAGAAATTCCCGTTGGATTGCTTTGACATGACGACATGCCCAGCAGTACAATACACGTCCTCTGGTTGATTGTGTGGGGCCCACATTTGAGCCCCACTGAATGAGTTGTGGGATGGTGTGTAACGTCTAGGGATCAGAGACCAGTGAACAGGCACATTTGTCCAGAAAGAGAAATAGGGCGAAATCCTACAAGACCGTACCTGCATCCTGGTGCCAAGCAGGCACCATAGACGTCCAGCCTGGAATCACAGAGACAACAGTGATGGGATTTTCCTGAGCTGCGTTATGCAGCAATCTGTTGTAGAAGAGTCAGATATCTGGGGACTGCGCCGGATTTCATAAACTATTATACTACATGAAATAATCACCTCTGTAAAGAAACCAGACACTTGGAGACCCCTGATGTGATGGCCTCTTTACATCCCCTGTTGATCTGTTGGGTCATGCGTGTTCAATAAAATGTCAGTACAGTGAACAGGGAGACCCATCAGGGCAACAGTAACACCTGAGGTGGCTGTGTATGAATAATACATAGTTAAGGCCAAGGAGTCAGTGTCAGGAGATCCATCTTAATTCAAAAGCCCCAAATTTGTCACTCCTGAGGAAGTCTCCCCTCTTACTCCACTATTCTAATTTAAGACAAAACTGAGGTTCTAATGTAAGTCTCTGCTGCCTCCATGTCACTATTATTCATATGGCTTTACTTGGTCATTAACAGTAATGACCAATACATTGCCCCTCCCGATATAGCCTGCCTTGGCCACTTCAGATAAATGGGTCTGCTAACAAATTACTGGACAGAACTGAACCCAGAAAAAGACTAACAGCCATCTTTCACAAAACAATGAGGTATTGGGTTTGTTTTTCTAAATCCTGAAGTTTACCAAGATTGGAGACCCAAACTCTTTACAGATGTGTTCCTTTCTTGAAATATAAAGATCTGGTCCAGTCCACAGATATCCACACTTGTATAACAGAATGCTATATAACCCAACAAGGAAAATAACATTGCTGTTGTTTACTCAGACAGTTACTGAGGGTGATTGCCAAACTAAGGAAAGCCAGTGTTTATTTTTACATGCGTTGTACATTGTTGCCCTCTGGTGTCCAAGATGGTCAAAACATTATCATCTCCAACTGTCTAAATGCTTAATGTCACCAACGGAAAATTCGGTTCTGGAATCCGACGTTCAAACAACGGGGACAAAGATGAGTCTGACAAAAGGCCAGGACTATTTAATAATTTCTACTCAATTTTAAGAAATGAGAGATGCAAAAGGCAATCTGAAAATTACATTTAAAAAAAGTATTACATACTCAGCTCATTTCAAGCTGCAAAGGAACAAGTTAAGGTTTATTACATGCTGAAAAGAGACGAAAAGAAACAACGTTTCGGCTGTGGAGCCTTCTTCGGGACAGGTTAACAGGTGCGTTCTGGGTCCTTTGATGGACTGGTTTGCCTGTTAGATAGTAAGTGACATTCTAGATAACATGGGGGATTCTTGGATCACTACTGTTTAAAAACAGCTCTCCGTCTGTCCTTTAGGCAGGAAGACCTCCTAAGAGGGCTACACAGCTGAAACATTGCGTTTCTTTTCTTCTCTTTTCAGCATGGAACAACCCTTTACTTGTTCCTTTGCAGCCTGACGCAGCTCCCTACTTGAGGCATTTCAAGCTGGTTGTGGAACTTGCATTTGTTCTCACAATGTCCTTATTATTAAGCTCTGCTCAGAGAACCATGGGTTATGAGAGATCTCACATCCCTGTAACACAGGCTAATCACAAGTCTGCCTTGCTAGACAGACCACTTAGTCCATCAACCTGCAGAAAGTTTCAGTTTTAAATTTAGAAAGTCTTGATCAAAAGACAAAGTGTATGTAAGAGTTCTCTAATCCAGGCCTTCTTTTTACGTGTATAAGCAGGTCCTACTGCCTATAGGACAGACAGAGAGCTGTTTTTAAACAGTAGTGATCCAAGAATCCCCTATGTTATCTAGAATGTCACTTACTATCTAACAGGAAAACCAGTCAATTGAAATACCCAGAACACACCTGTTAACCTGTCCACAATGTCTGTGATAGCCAGAATATTTAGACAAAACACCACAAACACAGAGAGAATGTGCACACTCCAATAGAACTCAGAAACCAAGAGCTGATAAGCAACAGCACTACTTGGTAAACCACTGTATCACCATTTCAGCAACTACTGTATACTGACGGCTACAAAACCAAAGATGAAAAAGGTCACTTATAGATTAGGAATAAGAAACTGAAAGGAAACATATTATTTAAATGTAAAAACAAATTTTAGGTAACCTTTATTCTGAAATGGACAAGCGATATGAAAACATTCAAGTATCATTATCTTCATTCAAGCTAATATATCAAAAAGAAAGAAGTGAATATTATTAAAACGAAATTTGCCAGTATAACCTGAGATATCCCTACACCTCCAGAGAGACACACTGAAGACTGTTACATTTTCACCTAGTGTGAACACACACAGCTATCAGTAGTGCATGCAGTGCAATTAGTCAGGCCAAGGATTTTGAAACAGAAAAGTCAGAAATCAGAAAAAAAACAGAAATCTTCGACAAGCTCAGTCAAGGTGGGGGATGTTATGTGAAGATTTCACAATGCTATGTTACAAAACATTCAGACAGACCAAGCATCATGCAGAATAATGCAAATGAAAGGAGCTGATGAACAGCCAATGGTGATCAGGGCTTCATATCACACGGGGAGGAGGTTCAAAGCAATACATACCCAGAAAGAGTCTCTTAGGGACTTTGATCTCTTCATCCTTACTGTCTGTTGCTACAGACAAAAGCAAAATAAGAGAAAGAGAAAGAAAACAAGCTTGGTTTGTAATACAGTGATCCCAAAAAGAAAAGAAGTTAATCGCGTGGTTTAGAAACAGCCCAAAGCACAGCTCCATTCGATACTTATGTACATTTTCTATCCTGCAGAGAAACTTAAAGCAAGGTAATAATTGTTCATCACAGAAAGGAATATTAACATTACACCCTAGGCATACATGTTCACATCAGCAGAATGACATGAAATAAAAACTCCTACACCACTGGAAGGCTCATAAAGAACATAGAAATGAGAAAACATGCCACTAATTGCCATATTTGTCCTTTTCTTTCTAAAACGCAAAGGGTCAGAAACTCAGCCATCCTACAGAGAATGGATATTAATGCAGTTCCCAGAAAAGTACAAAGAATCGGTCCGTCTGTTTTGATCCGATCTAGCACTTGGTGAACAGCCCATTCTCTGCCTGAAAGAGCAACAAAAGCCTTTTATAAAAAAAAAACAACAACCCATAATAGTTCGTTTTTCACAGTATTATATAACGCACATATCTGTTAGAGAAATCCTCCTTGTAAGGTATACTGCATTTTACACAAGCCTCACATTCATATCCGATAAAAAGGGGTGTGGCAACAGCTTTATACCGAAAGAGAATTAATTCCAATTCTCAGACAGGATTTCTACAGGGGGTTTAAGCTGATCTGAGTTTTCGTTCTCTTTTTTTTTTCCTGTTCTCATGAAGGTTATTCCAGATTATCCTTGGCTACAACAGCGGTTTAGAGAAAGCCTGAAAAGTAGGACACACCATGGAAACTTGTCACAAATTACCGGAGCTGGCCTGCATCCACAGGGCTGGCTGTTGATCAGCTCCACCCCCAGCTGTGTGCCTGTGTGCTGTGCCCTTGCCCATTCCCAGAGCCTCTGCTACAGGTGCGTGGAGCCCTGTCCGCATGTGTGGTCTTACTGCTGCATTTCCCAAAGACACAACTGTTTCAAGGATTTTTCTAAAGAAAAGATTTATACCAAAATGAAAGCTAGCAGGAAAAATGCTCTGTATGACACATTTTCCCTTTATACAGTACACATCTTATCTACATTAAACATAAACAGCTACAGGTTCCCTGAGGCCTGCAGACCAGTGTAACAAAGGCCAAAGACTGAGAAAACATTAACAACTTTACTTATAAAAGAATAAAATGCCTCTTGTACAGGAAACCGAAAAAATTCACAGGTCTACTTGAGATTAGATTGTCCTCATGTGCACTGCCAGCATTACCTATAACTCTACGAATATACATATAAATGGTACCATTTCAATTAATTTTAGGACACTTTGCTTCTTAAATGTCTCAGTCAGAACAAAGCATTATTTTGTAGACCTTCACATTTTTTTTCTGGGTTACTGTAAATAACAATGAAAGACAAGTCCTCTTTGTAAGAACAAGGCACAAGCTGCCATTATACACAGCCTGAAACGATTCATTTCAACAGTGCTTTGCTGACTCACTGCAGCCTGTGCAGTAAAGTTAATACCACAGAGCACAACAAGATTCAAGCCTTGAGAGGTGAGCAGGCCAGACTTGCGTCACTCTCCGCACCTGGCAGAGAGCACAGAGCAGACAGTACCCCAGTGCTGAGGTCACTCTCCACACCTGGCCGACAGCACAGCAGACTGTATCCAGCTCCGAGGTCACTCCCACACCTGGCCGAGAGAGAACAGCAGACTGTACCCCAGCACAGCTGAATTAATTTTAACGGTAGATGTTTGGAAATAGGTAAAGGCAAAGAGCATCTTCATGGTGATGTTGTTTTAAACCTGGCGGCCTTGTTGTGATACAAGATGACAAGGAGTTTGCTAAGAAGAAGGGCTGAAAGCCCAAAGACAGGAAAACATGCAGTTCTACCTCCCAGACAGCAGGAGGCGCTGGCCCAGTCACAGGATTTGATATCTGGGGAACACCCCCTCTCCCCCCAGCCTACTTCACCCAGCCAAACGTCTGTAGGCTTCATCAGGCAATCTCAGTTGTTATTTCTTTAAATAGGCTAATCCCTGTCTCGGGAGTTACATAAAGATGTAGACATATTAGCACAGTTTTGCAGTTGCTTTTAAGAAGCAAAAGAAAAGATGTTTGAACAGGGATTTCCCTACAGAACTTCTATGAACTTATATACAAGTTAATTTGTTGTCCACCTTTTAGTTCTTAGAAATGAAATTCCACAGGAGCCAAAAGAGTGGAGTTAAAAAGCCACCACATGCCATCAGTTCCAGTACTCATGGTTGCATTTTAATGCCTCTGAGTATATTTTAAGTCTGCAAAACAAATTACTAAAATGGTATACATTTTCTTCGTGAACATCTATAACTGGCATGTCATAAGTATGGTTTTAGCGAGTTAAAAATGAAGTAGTAAAAAGAACCCCAGACACCGCCCTCCTCCCACTGAGATTTCTCACCTCCCCGCACGATGGCATTTCTTCTCTACAGTTATCAATTCCTCACCTCCATGTCGCTCACCACTCAATGGACACTGTGTTCACTCTGCTCTGTGCTGGCATGACACTAATTGTTCCTGTGGGACTCATGTTTTTATCACTTCAAATGTGGTATGTCGGCCCACACAGGGACGTCTGCTAAGCACACACACACCGGGTCATAATCAATTGTCGTACAGCAAGGGCGTGTTGCACATCTTTAGTTCATTTACCCACCAAATGGATATTGCCAATTACTCTACTACATGTCCACCCAACCTGGAATCGGCAATCAATCACTGAACAACACAGCTTCCTACAACGTCTGTGCTACACAAAGAGAACAAAGAACCAAACACATCTTCTTTCAGCACTTCCACCGGTCACTGAGCATGCCACGAGCGCCACACAGCCACTAGCACTCTCTCCATCTTGTACTTCTGCCACCACAGATTAATGCCCACCCAACGCCTGGCAATGCTCAACTACTTAGGTATCCTGGCAACAATCACCCTAGGATACAGCCCTAGCTCAAACCCAGCGATGTCCAGACTGCAGGGTTCAACCTACACTCCAAACGAGTGCCTTTCCTGGTTAAGGAATTCACACACAGGGGAATTCTGCCCCACGTCTCTTTATCTCTTTTGCTAAGAGCACAGCACGGTTGCGCGCCATGGAGTTCCTACACAGCCTCTCACCCACAGAAACAGAGAGAAAACATTTCGGTCTTGGTACCACACAAAACAGCAGGTGAAAACATTGCTGCCGACTGCTTGACGCTACAAAGGGGGAATTTCAGTGCCGTCTTTGTATGGAATCTGTATGGTTTCACAGCCAAGAACGGAAGCATCTGAACAACATGCAGCCTGTACTGCAAGGGAAAAAAAAAGAACATTCAGATCCATCACCTGCGGTTTCGTGGCCTTTTACATTTCGGCAGACCCTTGTTAAGTCATTATTTTCACACCTAAAGCAATGCGACAGTATTTGCTATGAAGAAACTCTCTAGGTATCAAGTGAGCAAACCCAGCATTATCTCAGCAACCTACCTGCCGGAGGGACCACTCTTATCAGAGGTAATAAAAAGCACCCGTCACTGACCTAAGAAGGAGCGCCTCTTGGTGTTGTTTTCTGTAGCCACCCGCACGCCTGTACAGAGGTTGAGCATCACCAGCATGGTCACAATCATGATTATGCTCTGCCACAACAGAGGTGTCTCAAAATACCTCCCAAACCTGGAGAGATAAGGCAAACGACAAACCAAGAGGTCATGGTGAGCAAAAGCAGCTTCGGCCTTTATTCTCTCAAAACATCGTGATATTCTTACACACATGGGCGCGGTAGGGAAGAGGAGAGTGGAAGTTCAGAAAGTTCAACTTGTTTTTGTTTCATGTACATGGGCCAGACATGGCCGTCAAACAGGCCTGGTGGATCTGGCACTGCGTAGTAGCTACACGCCAGGGAATCGTGAGAATCGGCCTTCTGAAGACAAGGTTGCAATCTGTGTTTTTATTTGCCTAAATCTTTAGGTTTTAAAAACAAACAGAATACCTGCTTGTAGCTTGTAGCTCCCTTTGGCCATCAGTATTTTTGGTTCTAGTCAGGACCTCAGTGGAAGAGTGGCTTTTCAGGGGAATTTGACTTTGCACAAGCGAGGTTACAGTTAAGGGAATGGTGTGGGCATGTCGAGCCGGAGCTCAACCTTCTGTCTAGATGGTTCCCAATATTTATAAATGACTGGGCATCATCACGACAACTGAAGAGCCTCCAGTCTGCATCTTCTCACTTTCAAGCATCTGACCTGAAGCGGTATCAGCCAATGAGCACCAGGTGGTGCTACAGGTCACTATTATCACAGGTGAGAGTCGGCCTTCACCTCCGGTTTTAGAGCTGATAAACAGCATCTTGATGTTTCCAAAGTACTGAATCAGCAGAAGGTTTTTATTTATGCACTAGCAACGTATCAAAACACTTTCCGCTCTACCACTTTCAGAATTGCTTTGTACAGTAAGCCCAAGGGCGGACGCTGTTCTTTTGAAAACCGAAACTTGGAATGTGTTCGAGTGTAAACATGGGCTTAAAATGGCAACTGGTGAACTTTTAAAAGGATACTAAGAAACAAGAACATTATTCATTTTGTTACAATCAACATCAGAGGCTGCAATTCAATTTAGTAGAAGATACATCTTGAAAATTGAGAGAAATCTTTACATCAAACACACAGAGCACAATTGTGGGATTGTAGGCCTTATCCATAGAATTCTCACAGCAAAGTCAGTTGCCCTGAGGATACATTAGTTACATGACTGTAGCATGTGATGAGTTACCACAACCCATGAAAGAGTGCTTAAAAAATTATAAGGTGTTGACTTCTCTTCATTATCTCTAGGGATCACCTTTCCTCATGATATGATCATTAAAGGGTAACAATCTACTATGTTAGCATCTATGTTAAATATGACATCAGGAAACAGTATTAAACAGTTTGAATGAGGACAGTCCGTTCTGTGTACGGTTTTTAGGTCATTAGGATGGCATGGAGGTCAGAACTAGTGCCTCACACCTCCAGGATCCCAGGTTCAATCCTGCCTCTGTGGAGCCTGGATATTCTCACTGCACTCCCGTTTCATATTCCCCATAAAGGACACACACACCTGGTGTCTTTAGCTAATCATTTTATACAGCTGTAGCTACTGCACAGACGTTACATCACGCCATGACAGACGCACAGCATTATACTATAACTCACCAAAAGAGAATCCTTAAAATATTGGCCACCAGTAAGACGAGACACACGTAGGTCGAAAACCCCTCGGCGTTCTGGCTCCTCCGGATGTCCCTGTACTGCGGGATGTAAGGTACCACACCTCCAAACATCATGGCCCCAGCAGCGATCCAGGACACCAGCTGGTTAAGCACAGAAATGATCTGCTCGAAGACCTCATCTTCCATCTTGAATAGCTTGAGCGTTTTTAAAAATGCATACGGTATATGGCGCCTCTGTTCAAAAACGGGGGGGAAAACACAACTTTGTCGTCCTAGTTGGTTCCTTAATCAAACACCGGCGCGGCAGCTCCTTCGTCTCGGGACTTCTTGGCGTGTTAACAGCTGAAGTGTTGAGTAAGTCAATAAAGGAGAGTCACCGCTTGAGGTACTTCCTGGAAGTCTAGTTACTTTGGATTTCTTCTACAGCTCTGACCAGCCCGGCTGTAGCATGTTCAAGCTCCGGGATGAGATCACAGCTACGGATGCCGCATCACTGCCACGCAACCCCGGCCACATCCTGCATTGCAAAGCGAAAAGAATGAAAGGATCACTGACGCACGGCTCACAGACAGGTGTAATTCAACAACGACATAAACCGTGGGCGTGCGTAATCTATAACTAATACTCAACTGTCAGAGGGGCATGGAGACAAACTGAGAGAGATGAGTGAATTAGCAGTGTTACCCAATCGTATGATGTAAATACGCAAAAAACAGTGAAAGAGACAGATCAGCGTCCGTGTGCATTCTGCTCGTTTTAATTGCCTTTGCTGGTGTATTAATACTCGATCGTCCTTTGTGTATGATCCTCCGGGAGGCCACACAGCAGATGGGAATACAAGTTAAAAGAAACGTGATTTAATCATACACACTGTCCCCGGGGGCTAAATCGTTCCTCACACTCTTATTTCATGAATATTCGCTCACCTAGTCGCAGCAACAGACTCATCCGATGCGATGGCGAAACGCGATTGCTTTAATCTTCCGTGGCGTCCTTACCATCATCAACACATGATTGTGGCAGAAGGGCATCCCCTTTGGTTGGGCGCCGAGTAGCAGAGGTAACAACCCCTTCTTTAGTTTGCACAGACACGGGTTTAAAGTTGGTGGCAGCTGGCAGATCCTCTCCCCGCTGCTGCAGCTGCACTAAGCGATGGGGGAGCTTCCTTGTTGGGTAGTTATGACATCATAATCACAATATGACGACACGGCCAGCCGCGCCTCCGTTGGGTCCTAAAGGTGTTGGGCGCAGTGCCTTATCTCGTGGCTGACGCACTTCTGTGTGTGCACACCACGCATGCAATCAGAACAATAAAATTACACGTTAAAGATAGAAATTATACAAGCGCAGAACGCTTAAATCATCCTTCAATTGTAAAGCAAGTTTGTTAGCGGCTTTTCTCTCCGCCTTCTGTAACAAACCCAATTAGTTACTCCCTAGTCTTTATTTCAGCTACTGTCTGTATTACTTTATGGAAATGAACGGCTAGAATAAAGTTAAATCACCCGTGTTTTCGGTCTTAATCAGAGAGGTGCCCGCCCCCCTCATTAAGATGTAGCAAGCCAGTTACAAGTGAATTAAAAACATTTGCTTGTGAATGAGGGAGTACAGATCATCTTACTCCTCCGCCAGCAGGAGTAGGGGAGTTGCATACAGTTAATTACAATCTCTCTATAAAAGATAATACTAATTTTATATTACAGCCACCTACTGGGATTTGTATTATTTTACTGCAGTATCTGCAGGCAGCAGTAAAACACTTTATGCTACTACTGCTTTTACCAAGACCACACCCGAAGAAAGCTTCAGCGTCAAAACGTTGTTTTACTGTACTTACTCTTCAAGGTGGAGTTAATCTGTTCTTGTTGACTCTGACAGGGCTATACAACTAAAATACTCTGCTGCCGTTACTAAATAATACATTTACCTCTCTCTTGGGCTTATAGAAGGGTTAAGCGCTTCAGATACCATTAAAAGCGTCTTAAATCAAAGCCAGGAAACGTCCCAGTATACCTGCTAAACCTGATCACTTCGGGACACAGGAAATAAAGGCCTTTATTGAGACGTCTCATTTTAAATTTTGGATACACCTCGCAAGTTATTTAAGAAAACGTCTGTCCTGGAAATGAATTGAAAAGGGACGGAGGCCACGCTGAAGATGTGTCGTGCTGAAGTGTTTTAGCGGAGGAAGACCGATTCTCATCCAAGGTGAAAATTAACTTTCTTGTTTTACAACTTTTACCGCGTAAAGGAAATTGAAAACTGATGATAGAGATCCAAAACGCATTCAGTACAGTCAGCCAAAGGTGAATATTTCTCAGTACAAATTAGCATCGAAATTGAGATTTTTATCAGAACTATGTTTTAATGGAAAACTATTTTCCAGTTTTGTTTCGCGAAAAGCGACATGGCGTTTATTTTACGGTTAGAGGATATGGCTCGAAGTTGTGACGGCAGAGGCATGCCTGTTTTTTAGCCAGATTTGCCCAAACTCAAATCTCAGAAGCTAAACATCACTGGGCCTGGTCAGCACAGGGCTGAGAGACCCGATTTGGGAGAACTAGGTTAGCTGTGCAGGTGGTATTGGTGGATCAGTAGGTGGTGCTCTTTCTTCTGGACCGGGATTTCCAAACCTATCCCAGTATGGAGGCCGGGAACACTGGGCTGTAGGAGTACCGTTCTTCAAATGAGACATTAAACTGAGGTCCTGAATGCTGGTTATTGAAGATCCCGCAGCACTCTTCGAAAGAGAAAGGGGTATATTCTGGTATCACGATGAAGTACAAGTTTAGATCATACATTCTGGCCTCCTTAAAATACCCTTTATTTCTGTTAAGTAATTTCTCATGTATCCACTCAAACTCCTGTTGTGCCACATAACTTCAGCTGCGCATTGGCCCAGGTGGCGACTAAAAAGCGTTGTATGTAAGGAATGATTATAAAGCGAAAACCAAGCGACTACCCTTATAATATTAACGGTAGAAATGGTCTGTGAACGCGCCCCAGGTGTTTCCTCATTAGTGTGTGGGCCGGTGCGCTCCAACAGCTCTGCTCCAACTTTTCCTCTAAAAGTTGCTTTTTGGGGCGGCTGACCCGTTGTTCCAGGAGGGCAGCGGTTGCCAGGAGTTTGTTTGAGGACGCTTGTGTGACATTCCTCATGAAGTGCAAACTTCAGCGCCCGGCGGTTGGAAACAAGCTACAGATCTAATCGAGACAGAGGGCGGACAATGGCAGAGACTGGTCCCAACACACCGCAAGACTTATCAGACATGGTAAGCCCTTGAACACTTCCTTCTTATTTTGAAAGGAAGCGGTATAAAACAGTGCAGCGGACTACATTTAAATTTTATAATGATATGCTGGCTGTAAGTCGTATTGAATCTTGTGATCCTGCTAAAGCTCGGGTTTGAAAGTAGGTCGTGTGTAAATTAAACTAGTTTGCTCTGATTTCAGCGTCGGATAGTCGGGGAGAACACGTTTCGACGGAATGCGGGTGAAGTCCACTCTGTAAAATTCTCGCTTTTAACTATGCGTAGGTCTTTGTATAAAAAACATGGCAGCAATATCATGTTAAATACAATTTACGCTTCACAGTAACGCAGTAGCCTTGGTGGTTGCAAAGTTATCTACATTTGGCCAATTTAAACCTGCTTTTTAATAAGCCTCCGGATTCTTGAATTAAATGAATTATAGCTTTATTATACGTTTTAGTATTTCTTTCGTTCAGCTGCTTCAACAGTATTAATCACCTTTTGATTAATACTGTTGAAGCAAAAGCACCTTTTGCTTCAACCTTTTTAATTCCAACAGGTGTGTAGAAAATATAAAAAAAATCAATGTATGCAGTACGTGTAACGAAGCAGTGGTGTTTTAAAGCAGGTTTATAAAGCTTGAAATTAAAGTACGGCAGATGAATATGCAAATACGAAGAACGACGTTTAAACCACAAATTGTTCTTTGCACAGGTGGAAGCAATGATGCGGGGCCTACAGAACAAGTTTCAAGCCATGTCTGACCAGATAGTTTCAAGAAATATCCTTTCTGAAGGACCCTGAAGGTCTGTGAAACACGGCGATGGTGATGTTCTGCTTACACTTATAGCGCTTTTCTGGACACTCCACCACCAATGTGCAGCATCCACCTGGATGATATAGCCATAGTGCGCCAGAACGCTCACCACACATCAGCTATCAATTAAGCAAATTCATAGATGGGGATTATTAGGAGGCCATGATTGGTAAGGGCCAATGGGGAAATTTGGCCAGTATACCACCTTATTTGGGTTACACCTCTACTCTTTTTGTTACACCTCTACTCTTTTCGAGAAACGCCCTGGGATTTTTAATGACCACAGAGAGTCAGGACCTCAGTTTTACGTCTCATCCAAAGGACGGCGTCTGTTTACAGTATAGTGTCCCCATCACTGTACTGGGGGATTAGAACCCACATGGACCACAGGGTGAGCACCCCCCTGCTGGCCTCACTAACACCTCTTCCAGCAGCGACCTTAGTTTTTCCCAGGAGGTCTCCCATCCAGGAACTGACCAGGCTCACACCTGCTTAGCTTCAGTGGGTTGCCAGTTGTGAGGTGCAGGGTGATATGGCTGCTGGGTGATATGGTTAAGGGCTTCAGGCTCCAAAAGCTGACATTTCTATTGCATCCCTGAGCAAGAGACAGCCCACAGAGATCAGAGCAGTGCACATCAGACATTTCTACATTGGTTTCTTTAACTTTGTCACTGGAAGAAATGGGAACTCGGATTGACGACCTGGAAAAGAATGTGGCCGATCTCATGACCCAGGCAGGAATGGATGAGTCTGAAGCACACTTTAAAGTAAGAAATATTCAGTGAGAAAAAAAAGTCACTTACTTTCCAGCTATTCTGTTGCGTTAGAAGTACCAACACCCCAATGAACACGTGGTCAAATTTGTTTTTTCTTTTAAATGAAAATAATTGCAATTTGTATTTTTTCAGTAAAAAAAATGGTTATAGGAACCTGAAAAGTATAAATGTGAGGGCTACTTTATGTCTTTATTGACAAAGTCCTCTTTTCAAATTTGAGGGAGTTGCCAGGTCAAATCTAGTCTGTGCTATTTGTTTATATATGTTCAGGTGTGATGTGTACCAGGGCCATGAGGGGTTTGTGAAGCTGGGTGTTGTTTACTAAGTGGTGTGTCCACAACTCTGCTATGTTCATGATTTTGTAAATAAAACATTCGGCTCGTTAAAGACGCGTGTCTCAGTGGAAGTGCGTGTTCAGTCTTCATCTTTCCCAGCTCTTAATAGATTTGGGATGTGTATTCATTAAACCAGATAAGCTACAAGTGGAGATTTCAAAACATGGGGTCATATAAACAGGAAAATAATGGCCTTTTCTGTAATTTAACTAGAACTCGGTTACTATATACCAAAGGTTCATAGGTTCAAGTCTCAGCTGAGATGCCAGTGTGGAGAGAGGTTTACTCCAATTCATCAGTAAATGCCCTGTTGTACAAATGAACACTTGAAGTGCATACTTTATAAATGAAAGTCTGTTCCAAATTGACTAATCTAGTTAACTAAGTGGTTAAAAATACATATTTTCGTATTTTAGTCGAATTTAAGTTTTGAGAGGGCACTGATTTTGAATTGCTGTCCCATCTCCTTCAAAATAACTTTTCTTCTAGAGCATTCTGCATTTTTGGCTTAACCCTAACAGTAACCTTCCTGTTGAAGGTGGACTTGATGTCCAAATCATGGTGTTAAAGGTATTCATCTTTTGCATCAGCAGGACAAATGAAGAAGATGCATTCAACAGTGAAGGAGTAACAAGCTGTTAATGGAGAAAAGGAGGACTCTGTGACTGCAGTGGCTTTGTTCACTAGGATCAGACAAGCTGTAAGAAACATTCCTCCAGTGCAAACCAAGAGGCAGTCTGAGATTCTCCTGAACTGTATCCATTTCTTCTATTGCATCACAAGCCATCAGGTGCCATATGCAGAATGGGATGTATCCCTACATATGAACACTTCTTTCTTAAGGTGTTTTCCATGCACCCCATATTAATTAATGTATACACTGTAATGTTTAAATTTAGATTAAATGTGTTCATCAGTGATTTCAATAATGACCCACAGAATCAGTTTTATGATGCATTTCCTGCCATAGTGCTAAAGAAGTTTTTGTAAAGCATGCTCCAAAAGAGCCTTTATTTTACTGTATTTAGACAAGACATTTATGCCTGATAATTTCTTGAATTATGAAGGATGAATAAAACCACATAATAAAAAGTTTGTATATACTGAATCCTAGTAGTTTCTAGTTTTCGCCAACTTTTTCAACCAAAAAAAAGTAACAAAAAAAGAATCTTCTTGCAGTGCCTGTTTTATGCTGATAGGAACCAAGCTAAGCTTACATCACCAGTCTGAGCTAGACGGCCATATTGAATGGACCTTCATAACCAGGCCTGCAGGCTGACTTCTGTGAATGCTTGTATCTTACATTCCAGTCTTGAGATGGCTAAAAATGCTTTTGTCCTACTTTTGGATAATGTAAGTTCAGAGTCCTCCAAATAATTCACCTGAAAACCGGCAAAGATCTTTGCCCTCAGGCTTGAGCTTGGGTCATGTCACTCGTTGACTATGCCCATGATTGGCTGTGCAGTGTTCTCACAGCAGCACAGCGACTCCTACAGCCTCTCGGGTGCTTGAAGGTGCATGAGTGACTGATGCACCCTTCCTCCTGTCGGTACTGGGCTGTGTTAATGGCTAGGTGTTCTAAAACAAGTGGCTCAAAGGCAAACAGGACAGGGGCCTCCAAGCCTCCTCCTTCTCCCCTGTGTGTGGCCACAGCAGTCATATTTGTGAACCCAGATATAAAAAACAAACATCTATTCCAAAGTGGGTGGGTTTAACCAAAAATAATTTGGGATTCTAAGTTGTGTATTCTGAAATATACTTGCTTCCACAAAAATAAATCTAAATGTTATGCCTTTGCTTCACAGCACAGCAGGCCGAGAAATGAGAAATGGCTTCTCTAATTGCAGTTGCATTAAGTGGGACTTCAGGGAGAGGGTGATGGGTTAGTGAATATAAGGAAACTAATAAAGAGAATTTAGCAACCATATTATCTAGTATGAAGGTGACCACAGTACTGGGCCAAACTTTAAACTGAATATTTATTTTGTTTTCCTTCAAGTGGTGTTTGTGTTGCACAACATAAAGGAGTAAGGACCTAATTTTTAATACATAAATTGTTCTTTAGATGAGGTATACTACTGCCACATACAATTGTAACAATCAACACACCCCAATTTAAATTCTATGCTTTTAACTATATAAATTGTTTGCCCTTTGTGTTTCTGTCCCAGATTACTTTTCAACATTCTGCCCTTGTCTATACTGTATGAGATGTCACCAACAGCTGTCTGCCCAATCTAGATTTTTACTTAAATCATTAAAATTAATTGCTGCTTAAGCCTGCCATGCTTATGCATTATTAATTAATATATAATTTTCTTTATAAAACAGAAAAACTTTTTTCTAGTATCTAATTCTTTTTTCAGGAAAGAATTGTGAGCATGTAAAAACTCAACTTTTAAAGTTAAAGGTACTGCAAAATAAGTTTACTACATTGTATGAAACTACAGCATTGAAAAAGTCATTGAATCTCAAACACAAAAACATTTCAGTCACTATAGGCTAACATAGTTTTAATAGGTACAAAAGGACACTTCAATTCAATCAAAATCTAAATAAATATTTTGTACTGAAATGGCCACTTCCAATTATAATGATCCCAAGAGGTGATACTGTCTTAGTAAGAAAAAGACCAAAGTAGACTGGTGGCGAGCGGCTTCTTAAATTCCCAGCACATTGTGGTGAAAAAAGCACCATAGTCAAGTCCCAGCTGCAATCCCAACGAGAGCACGGGTAGCCCAGAGAGAGGCCATGGGAATCAGTAGCGATATTTGGTGGAATAGTCTTTGGGAGACACTACTAGACCTCGCCCTTTCCGAGCACCTCTGTAAACAGTCTCCACAATGTCTATCATCTCCTGCTTGTCCTCCATGGTCCAGTTAATCTTGTTGTTATTACCAGTGCCCAGATCAATCATAATGTGCTTGTTCCTGAAAAAATAAGGTTTCCAGTGAATGACAGCTCTGAACTTTTCAGTGAGCATAAGAAAAGTTAACATTCTTTACTAAAAAAAAAAAAGCTTACTCCTTTTCAACATTTGTATTTTTGCCATGACATAACTAATAAGCTGAAGGGCTTTACACTACGTTTTGTTAAAACAAGTCAGCACTTGGCAATATCAGATGTTTTTTTCCCCTAAATCAAATATCACAGATGCTGCGAGTTTAGATTTACAAGTGTTTAAACAGCTGTAAAGAACAATTAAAAGCTCCACAACCTTTAGTCAAAGGGAAAAAGCAAACGATCTATCAACATCTATACAATTGACCTCAAAGGGGACTTATGAGATTTTGTACATAACTATAATAACTCAAAGCCCCAGTGTCTTCTTGTTTTTTTTTTATACACCCTAAGCAGTAAATTTATTTAGGTCTTTAAAAATATTATACAGCTGATTATTAAAAACATTTATTTCATTAAGGATATAATTACCTATTAAAGACCTACAATCCCAATTATTAGTATTGCAATGATGAATTAGATAATTACACCAACTATGTAACAGTTTGGATAGCACAAAAAAACAGAAGACATCAGAAACTGTTTGAGATTCCTGCTGTATAGTTTGGGAGGTTTGAGTTGCAGAACACTCACACGTTGCCTAGGCAGATGGCATCACCTGAATGAAAAGTTCTTCATTCTACCCAGGCATGTGCACAATGCTGGTAATTGAAAACTGTGCACTCAATTTCCCACAACACCATGTCATTCCTTATTAAACTTACACTCACTGGTCCCCCTGCAAGCTGCAAGCTGCAAGCTGAGAACATACTTGAATGTTACTTTGCATTTCTTGTCATTTTAAGCAAAAGGTGTCGAGAAAAGCTAAGTATGCAGTGATTCATTGTGTAGCCAAAGACAAGGCAGGAGGGTGCAGCACTGGACAAAAGTTGACAATTCAATGTGCTGTCTAAACTAAGTCTCACACAAGAGATGGCCACTTGTTTTTTTATTTTAAATGTACTTGCACAAATTTTTTAAACACCAGTTCTTCTCTTTCTGAATTATAAAGCACAGAGTACATTGCAGTATAAACATGCAGATCTCCATCATTTGCTTGATGTACATTTATAGAACAGATTGTGACAGAACTGGTGCTGTTGAATGTTGTTATAATGAGCAAGGTAAACAGATGGATGGGAAAATGCTGATTTTAAGTTGCAAGGTTTTGCTCCAAACCAGTATCTACTCTATTTGAATTCTTGACATTCAAAGAACTGTCGTCCTAACTAGATACAAGACAGTCATGCAGTGACAAAAAGCTCCAATTGTGATGATGGTGTTCACATCGATATTCCAAATAAAAGATTTCAAAAGATACCCACCTGAAGAAGAACATGACAGTACATGGATCATACAACTCGTACATCTTGTTGAAGTCTGGCACCTCCGTGATGTCTACTAGATAAATCACCGCAAAGTTCTTCACCTGAGAAAGGTATAATGGCACAATGTCAGAAAATAATAATAAATCTCATCCTCATGGTGGCGACACCTATTGTAAAAAACAGCTTTTGCACTAATTCTCACTATTGTTTTCCAGATAACTATTTAATTTGGGGGTAGAAAAATAGGCCTTTTTTAAGGCAATAAAGTAGAAAGAAGTCTGCAGTTACAGTACAAACTTACCTTTTCAGCAATACTGTACAAAACCTCATCCATTTTCATGCAGGTAGGGTCCCAGTCATGACCAAACCTAATCACGACCACTCGATCCTCCTCAGACAGGATGGCTTGGTCTACCTGCCAGCCATTGTGGAGATGGGGAAGCATATACGACATCCTGGATCACCTGAGGGAGCATACAGAGACGGACAAAAATACCCAGATGTTAAACGACTTCGATGACGCACAGACGGTGAGCACTGCACTGCTTTTGTGACTTCTCAAACTAATCCTCTCCTCGTGAACTGATTTTTGGCAACTAAGGTGTTTTCAGGTAACACCTGGAAAAAACCCACATCGACATGGATAAAGAGCTTCACACTCCAGAAGGCGACCAAGCCAGAATCAGACCCAGAACCAAATCATTGTGAGACAGTAGCTTTCCAAATGCCAAGATTAATCCGACCAAAGAAAAAGAAACAAGTGGTTTGAGACCACTCATGGACTACCCAGTGCTAAATTAGGTCAAAAAGTTATCACCAGGGCCCGAAAAACTTCCTCCTTTTAAATTTCAAAGTTGGATTTTTACTCATGTTCTTTTAGTTAGCATTCCTCTATTGAATGTCCACTCAAATTTAATAATAAAGGAAAGGAGACTGTACACAACAAAAGATAAATACGAGACCGTTTAAGATAGAAAAAGCAAAGTAGCTACAAGAAAAAAAAAACGTTTTAAAAAAAGGTCAATCGCAAGACTATAAATGCAACGAGACAAACTTTCTAGGTGAGCTCATACTCGCACGGTCAGTTAACTCGTTCAAATGCGCGGATGATAGTATTAGAACGAAACCTGAAACTACAATAGTGCAAAACATTTTCAATTCACAAAGAAGACTATAGGCAATCTCAACACCGGGGTTAGGTTTTATGGAATAAAAAAAGTAAGCCATTTATTACCAAAAGGTTGATAAAGATGTTACTCAACAGCTGATAAATACAGATATTCCTAATGGAAACAAAATATCAACTAGTAGTACAGTGATTATTTCATTTGCATGTGCTCGGTCCTGAAAATCCGACACAAGAAAACTCAGTTTCGATTGAAGCTCTTACCTTGCACAAAACACACCTTTGCAAAAAAAAAATAATCTCAACTTAATTACTTTCGTTTTAATTTATCGCTTCCTCCAGAACAAAGCTTGCACTGAGGAAAATACGTACGTAAGCTATTCCTTTCTAGAAAAATAGCACTATCGAGGCACTTTAAATATACGTAAACCACAGCATCCGCTTGCGTCATTATAAGGGGACGTCGCACACTTTTGTGTTTGACGAGATAATCGTTGGAGATCCTTTAAATTAACGTAGGAGTTTTCAGTCTTTTCTGACTATCAGAGGGGGCGGGGGGGCGTAGGCTCTTTTGCAGAAATCCAATACTGTTAATGTAAGTTGTTGTCTAAACTTTGTTTAAATATCATTATATATTTAATAAGAAATATTTAAATTACAATTATCCTAACTTCAGAAGGTAACGTACACAACGCAATTTTCCAAGTAAAAGGACAGCACTTTACGAGGTTATTATTAATGTAATTGAGTCCTGGATACTATGTTACTTTTAATCCAGGAAATTCTTGTGTGTGTAGAATAAAATACTTAAAAAGCTTTCATTTTTAATTAATACCCCTCCATCTCAATTGATGTACATGTTGTCTTTCTAAACTGCAGTTAAAGTAAATGCTCGTTTTGCCACGTAGAAGTGAACACAGCAAGTTGAACACCAAGTTAATGGAAGGGAGCAATATTTATTTGAAACAAAAAGTAACCAAAATGAATCACCAGATAATGAAAGACAAAAGCAAATCAAGAGCCAACAGTGTCATGATCTGTTTTTTTGGTCTTCTTCAGCCATTAATTCCTTGATCTCCCAGTCCTCAGCGCTGTACTCTCTGTACCCACTCTCTTCCTCCCTGCCCACCCTCTGACCGTATCGCTCCAGGAGATAAGCCTGAGGAGTGATGTCGTCGTCTCTATAGCGCTTGGCGTTTTTCTTCTTCTTCCTGCGGATTTCTTTCTGCTTCCTCAGCTCGGCCAGCATGTCCTGCTGCTGCTCAGTGAGCCCAAACTGAGCAGTCTCTGTGAGAGCTTCCTTAGGTTTCTGCTTATAGGCCATGATCTGCCTGTTCAGTGCTTCATGGTCTATTCCAAACACAGCCGATGGTTTGGGAGTGGCAGGCTGCTCTGAAGGGGATATCAGACAGACAGGTTCCCTACAGAAAGAAACAGAACAGAGTCTTACTGTAGAGATGGGGTTGAAAATAGAATTCCACACATGAGCACAATTTATTTGGAAATTCGGAGCTGCCAGTTATTGTTTTATGTTTTACGTGCACCAACACGGAATTGCTAACTGGTTTAAGACTCAGGTCTCCTACAATAAATACAACAGACAAACAGAAACAGTAAAAAGAAGAGCTGGTATGGCATTTAATTTATCATCGAGTTCCACAGGTCTAAAATAAAATCACTACCCCATCAGTGAATGTCCTGAATCAAAACGTTGCTAAGATCAAAAGAAAATCCTATTTCTATCCTGAACTTTCCTAAAACATTTGTTTTATAGAGCACGTAATAACACCCTTTCATTGTGGCTTTAAGAATAAACATTTTGGAGAAAAAAGAAAGGGTTGCAAAATAAAATCCACACTAGAAGTTCAAGCAGTGTGTTATATGATGTAGCCAGTTTACACATTTTCCACATTTAGAAGGCTGTCTCTACTTAAATAAAATTAAAAACAATCCAACAGCCTTTGGGCACTTCATCGGGGAAACAGCTACAAAGCCACTGCACTTCTCTTGAAGTTATTCTCCAAAACAAAAACAATCTTATACTTCACTGAAGGAACTAATAATATTCAACAATGGTAGTCCACATACACCTATTAACAACACAGATCTCCAGCTTAAAATATGACATGGGCTTTGACTGGTGTCTGGTGTTCAGCATCTGCTCCACAGTGGAAGGAGATCGGTTTCAGAGCAGAGTGACAAACCGGTTACAAAGCTGGGCTGAAATGCCCACACAAAACGACAATCTTAATTTAAAGAGGCCTCACCTCCCGTCTGTCAAGATTTGCTCAGGTTCCTCTGTGTTTTCATTGGGCCCGAAATCTGCCATCTTTAACAGTCTTTCAACCTGAAGACGGCAATATCCACAGAAATTAGCCTCTACTGCTCCTCTGCAGAGCAAACCTGTCCCTAGATACAAGGACCTCTGTGTGCTCTATTTTGGCCTCCAAACATGCTCTGAGTGACCCATTCAGACCCTTAACTACATAATTAATTTGTTAAGTATGATCTGTCCAAGCCAACTTTACGTTCAAAATAACAAAAAGGAACAGTGTTGAAGCTGCTTGGTGTGGCACAAATTCAAGTATTCAACATTATATGTATACATTATAAGTAATACCATAAGACAATATAATATAAGCCAATATAAGTCAGCAACACTCTCAATGTTAATACACAATAAGTAAATAATTCCACCGATTCAGAAATGTATTGGTTTACAAAGTAGCTGAGGCTCTTCTCAAGCCCAGTCTGGCAGCTGTCAGAAACTGGGGTGGTGGGTAGGGTAAGGGGGTTTGTGATTACAGCCTGTAAGCCTCACAGACTTCACATCCTACCTTCTTTTCTACATTACCTCCTGAAAACGAATTGCTCAGACAAGCTGTAGTGGCGTACCTGGGCAGCCCTCGTAATTGTAAAAAACATGTTTCACTCTGGAACAAGGGTTTTCGTCGAAGTATTGAAACTCCAATCTAGAATATTTTCCCCTGCTACAGCAGAAAAAGCTGGAACAGGTCGGAGTACAGTACGAACAGGGGGGTTTTGAGGAGAAGCTGGAAAGTGGTCAGAGATGGTGCAGTCCTGATGCTCCTAGGCATCTGGTTTCACCACAGGGGGGCGCCAGGGAGGAACATAAGCAGCACAAGAAACGAGAGTGACATGAGCAGACAGTGCAGGAGGGAACATTAGGAGAAAAGAAGGACTGGATACAGGAGGGAGCGAAAGTAAATATTAGGAGAGAAGAAGGACTGGATACAGGAGGGGGTGAAAGTAAGGAAGGGAGTCGTGGACTTAAACAAAAACATCAAAATTGAGCATGAGCAGAGAAAGGGAGCCAGTGAAAAGGAATAATAATAATTCCTTACTCTTATATAGCTGTTTTCTGGACACTCCAGTCAAAGCACTTTACAGGTAATGAGGACTCCCCTACACCATTACCAATATATGCCCCCCACCTGAAATTTATAATGACCACACAGAGTCAGGACCTCGGTCTTATGTCTGATCTGAAGGACGGCACCTTTTTACAGTATAGTGTCCCCGTCACTATACTGGGGCATTAGGACCCATACAGACCGCAGGGTAGCGCCCCCTGCTGTCCTCACTAACACCTCTTCCAGCAGCAACCTTAGCTTTCTCAAGAGGTCTCCCATCCAGGTACTGACCAGGCTCACACCTGCTGAGCTTCAGTGGGCAACCAGTTGGGAGTCACAGGGTGATATGGCTGCTGGTAGAGGAAGAGCTGTTTGGCATACATGAGTCAGAGAGACCTGGAAATTCAAATGAGCAGCAGAGGTCAGGCAACCCAGGTGACCCAGACTACAGAGAGCAGGGGACTGAGCAGAGACAAAGGGGCAGACTGGGCGAACACAGGCTAGAAAAAGATGGCTGGGATGTGACAGAGAAACGAAACTATGAAAAACAGAAAAAAGCTCGAAATAACCTTTTTTAGAAACAAGGATGAGGTGTTATGCCAGCAAATCATTAGACACGTGTTGAAAGGTATAAACGAGAACTCTCGACTTGAGTCAAAAGCAGCAGATACTGGTATCACCAGGTTTAAACAAAGGCTTATAGAGTCTGACTTAGACGGACACTGTAAAATACCACAATCAGATACTAGTGCATGAAGAAAAGCCCAAATGTCTAAGAAGTACAAAACAAAAAACAATTAGCCTGGGATCTCCATTGTTAGGAGGCAGATTGCATCTACTAATATCATTGGAATACCCCTGCTATCCAAAATATTTTTTAAAGAAATCCAGTATACTACATTTAAACTATACAAGTTTATACTATATATGGGAATGCTTGCCTGGATAGACTCTGACTCCCCCACGACCCTGAATTGAAAGCAGTCCTTAGAAAATGGATGGATGGAAGCAAATTTAATGCACTGAAAAATATTTTGGAACCTTTTCAAAGTATTTTAAAATAAAGTACATTTTAAAGTAAAAATCACCTTTAAAACAATGTTCAAAACTATCTGTGCTTACACTCAGAAAATTATTTAATGAAAATAAATGCTCCCATTTCAAAATCCTGAGACAAAAAAATCCAAACAATGCTGTTTTAAACATCTCCCATTTGCTCTCAGTAAAATAATAACAACAGTAGAAGTGTTACCTCTAAGACTGCTGCATACTCCTTGTCTTTTATGAAAGTCACAGGGGGCACACTGCCAAGGACTTGGTGTGCAATGAGAAGGTACCTACAATAAGAATATTTCAAATCAAACATGGCAATTATTAGTAGGAAAATGAAAGTATCTTCCCTTGATCTTTCCACAGTTCTCCTTTAACCAGCGAAGTCTTCCTAAAACAGATTTTCCCTTGTAACGGCACACATTCATGAGAACATAAGAACGCTTCCACACAAGAGGAGGCTGCTTGACCCCTCTGGGCCGTTTAGTAATTTTTTAATCTAATTGACCCCAGGATTTCATCCAGCTGTTTTTTGAAGGAAGTCAGGATACAGGCTTCAACAGCAAGGCAAGATAAATTAATCCAGATTCGTACAACCCTTCGGGTATAGGTCTACCTTCAGCTCTCACTTTTAACTGCACTCCCCCATAGTTCCCATTCTTAGAGAAACAACATTATCCCAGGGAAGAGCTAATAGCACTTTGCGTTGTGTTTGTGCAGACAGTGCTGAGAAATGTCAGTTAGCCCCTAGTCTTCCCAGTCCATTTGTACCATTCACAACAATGCAGAAAGACCAGCAGGTGACATCCAAGGCATGAAGAAAATTCCAGTAAAAGGATCTTATTGTACTAGAGAGATGAGCCACGGCCAATGTAGTGTAAAAATCCAGAATTAGCACTGCACACCTAGTTGTGAGAGCGCTAACAAAGATTTCTTTTATGTTTGCGTTTGTGCAATAACATCCGAGAAAAATCGACATTACTGTAATACCATAAATCCTTTAATAAGGGATTTAAAACATTAAAACATGGTCCTACATTCTAGAAAACCATAGCAGCACTGCCCTCAGCTTGGGCAAGCTCTGGCACTGCCAGTAAGGCATTTCAGTATGAAAAATGGCAATCATACAATGTTACTGAACCGCTCAAGGTGCAATAATGGGCAATACTGAGGCTGGTATTATAAAGAAAGATGAGTGCACCAGGTGCACCTTCTAAAGCAGTCTCAACAGCACAGTTTAGGGACCACCGCGATGCCACAGGTAATTGATTACCGAACACGAGGGGCGCTCCTATCCAGCACCTGCTGAATAAGGTCATCAGTCTTCGAGATCCCACTCGTTTTCCAGTAAACACGGCAGCAGGAGAAATCCAAGGGCAGGGAGACCTTGCAGGATAAAAGGGAACTAACACAGTAACTGGCTGCAACGATTAATCTCAACATTAAAAAAAAACAACAACACGGAATTGCAAATAAAAAGTAGAGAAAAAAATAACTTTCGTGCGGAAATAAAAAATGAAGGTTTGGGAAACTGCGGTTATAGATTAATAAGTGCAAGATCCTGTGACACACGCTCTCCCTTGGTGTAGCCTGGGAAGAGGTATCCAATTAATAAAATATAAAAGGGCTCCGTCTCTAGCTATGCCAGGAACCTACATGAAGAAAAGACATGCCCATGAAAACAAATCCTTCAAAGAGTGCGCGACAGGACGCTCACCTTTGAAATTTCAAGACTGAGCTCACAGATTTCTGAGCTGACTTCATTAGAGCTCAGCAGGTCACTGATGGCCCTGTAAAGAATGGAATTCAGTGCTCTCATCCGTATGCTGTCCTCCCTTCTAGTTTTGGGAGGTGGAGTGAACTTCACAGCGTCCTGGGAAGTGGATGGTTTGTGTATCTATGAAGCAGAGGTGAAAATAAAACAGGTTCCGTTGATTCAGTGATCCATCGGAGTAACGCTAGACCAACACCACACAGCAACACATACTAGAAATATCCCAACCTGTTTTTTTTTTAATAAAAAGAACACTTGGTTAAAGTATCAATAATGGGATATCACATGTGTAATTAAGCACAAATGTAATTTAGAAGCAAAAACAGTATTTAAAGCTTACCGGCTTAGAGACAAGGATTGGGGATTCATACCAAAACTTCTTTCTGTAACAATTTTAAAAAAATGATTAAAATGTTTTGATTATGTGAAAACTCCTTGAAAGATACATTAATTACAACTTTTCCGTCCAGTTTAAATACTCAAATTACAAATGGAGTGTAGATACTGTACCGACCACAATTTTAAAAACTTTGGCAATAGTCACCCCCAGGGTCTTAAGGGTTAACCCGAGAAAAATAAAAACTCCACGCTAGAAATAAAGTATTCTCTTTCACCAGCTTCCCGGTATTTTCTGAGAACAAGACGTTTTTAAGGACAAGCAGATAAATACAGTAAATAACCATTAGAATCCCGCTTCATTCACAAAAATACGTTTATTTTACAGTTCCACCAGAATATCCGTAATTTATTTAAATATTATATTATTGTGTTTTTGAAAAGATTGGCTTTTTATTGCTACCGATCAGCTCATTGATAATTTGCAACAGCAGTTAACGTGATAATATTTTGATTTCAGTATAAAATCAGGAAGCGACTTAACATTTGCACTTTTTAAGCTATTTGTATTTTGGAACACTAATAGATGTTAAAGTAAAAGAGTATTGAAACTCTAAAATACTCACTTCGTTTTCTTGGCGAACTTCTTTAAAAGGTTTTTGCTGCCATAATGAATGCTAGATGTCCCAATTGTTCTTTCAAAAATGACTCTGAAGCTGCTAATGTTAACATTTCTAATACATAGTACGGTTTCTCCCGGACTGCTCCTTAACTCTGGGGAATAATATCGGCTTGGGGGGTTTGTGATAGCAATACACTTTGCTACTGCACAACTGAAATAGTTTTGATTTGTTAAAAATTTACTGAAGCACAATGTTGTCCTTGAACCATACATGATGACATCTTCCACAACTAAAAAAAATAACTCGGTTGCAACCTGAAGGGAACAAACTCGACATGCCATTCAGCGGCTAGTTATGTCTCGATTAAGTCAAAAGCAAATAAAAGACTACTCAATCGATGGGAGGAGGTGATCGCAATCGGATCTTGTTTAGGTGTGTTCGTGCTTTAGAAACTAGAAACCTCCATCGACAAAACAATTAAATGACTTCATTACTTTAATTGACACTCATGTTAAACTGATATTCTGTCTTCTTTCAATACGATATTATAACAAAACAAACTCCTAAACATTTAATTTATAAGAGATTGCTCCTAGGTTCTGTAGTCCCTTAACATTTTGAGACAGCACTTTTGAAGTTGCTCTGAAACTGAACTAAGCGAATGTGTAAATTAGGTATACATTTTCTAAATATGATCACGTGCATTAACAACGTAAAAAATATGTATTAGGTGAAATATTTTCATTTAAAAAAATTCAATCAAAATATCATTTTACTTGATCATTTGCAAATGTTCATTTTTAAAAGATGCAATTTGTCTTGATTACAGAATAATCTTAATTTTCATTGACTACCAATCAAAACGTGTGCATCTGCAAAAGGAAGAAGGAACAGTTTATAACTGATTGCTTATTTAATCAGCAAGCTGTGCAAACTAGGACAATATCATGAAGACTATGTAAATGAAGCTTTGATTAAGGGTGTCTGAAATAATACGCTGATTTAAATTAAATTGAAAACATTCAAGGTGCTTTCATTTTTTAGTAAAGGTTTGGGGCCCAAAATTCACATTCATATACAGTTACTTTAAAATCTTGTTCTGTCTCAAAATCTCAGGGAATTACGGAGTCAGGTGACAACCCAAAATCATTTAAATGCAGAAAGTTTCTTACAATGTGATGTAATAACATTCATTACAGTAATAAGGGTCATAATACAACATATAATCATGCACAAAAGAAAAGCAACATCCATCCATTTTCTAACCGCTTTATCCAATTCAGTGTCGAGAGGGAGTCAGAGCCTATCCCAGCAAGCAACAGGTGCAAGGCATCCTGGGTAGGATGTCAGTCCATTGCAGGGCACACACAGACACTGACACATACTCACATCAGGGCCAATTTTCTCAGAAGCTAATTAACATACCAGTTTGTCTGTGGACTGTGGAAGGAAATCAAAGTACCCAGGAGATCCCTGTGTGAACATAGGGAGAACTTACAAACTCCGCACACATAGCACCCCAAGAATTGAACTCAGAGCCCCAGTGCTGCAAAAGAGCAATACTAACCACTGTGACACCCAGAAAAGCTACATGTAGTTCTAAATCACTGAAAACATGAACATAAACAGTTTCAATATAAAACTGTGGTGCATTCAAAATGAGCAAATTAAGCATTAATACAATGCCATTAGCACTGATACACAGACCCGATCAGCCTCTGGACAGACTGCTGTGGGATGTTCCACCACACTCCCAGTGACACTGCAGCCAGATGGCAAAGATCAGCCAGTCATGACCAATATATCAAGGCAGGCATAGGTAAGTCATTCAGCTGATGCATATAGGGTGGCTCTTCCTGGGATGTATTATTTCTGCAGCAGTCTGAGACAGTTGCACAGATGGATCTGACTGGTGGTCCTGGAGCTGAGTGATATAACTGTCTTCCAGGTTATCGTCTGCCTGTCAAAAAACTGGTTGTCTGGGTTGTCTGGACTAGTTTGCGCATACCAGAAACAGAAGTCAAGCTCATTTTATTATTATTTTATTATCCCACCAATAGCAGTGCTCAACAATCAGCAAACCTGTTTATATGTATACCCAGGAAGCTATACACTGAACAAACAGCTGAATTCACTGAGCACCTGTATAACAAAACTTGTTTCTAACAGACATGTTCACAATGCCCGTATCAGCAGTTATCATTTTAAATAGAATAATTAAGCAAGCGAAGTAGAAAAAAGCAGATTAAAAAAAAACATCAGTTCTTATGCTATGAGATCTTTAGCATTTCTCTGCATATCACTTTGTGATAGTACACTGAAATCAAGGTGGCCTCTGCACTATATGACTTTAGACTAAAATAAACTAAAATAAACTGATGATCATACACATCATAGGAATGTACTCAGGAGAATTTTAGACCCACCTTCTTACTTTACCTACCTCTATCATGAAGTGACGATCAGCTGGTTTCAGCTGGTGGCTGGCCTCCTGACAGAATTTTTTTTCTATAAGTTGAGGTTTTTCAGATTATCATGTGCCTTCTAGGAGTGAAGCGATGCTCATCAAGGCCCTTCGTTGTAGCTCTAACTATTCTTCTCACTTTAGGAAAAGAAGACAGTTTTATGCCCCAAAACCTCTTAAAAGTAATCTCTGTGGAGAATCTGCTGGAACATCTAATAGCTGCCTCATTCCAAATTCTGAATTTCTGAGTTGTACCAAGTTAGTTAACTCTCTTAAGATGTTGAGTATGATAGTTCTCAAAAACTGTCAGGCACTTACAAGTTTATGTAAGATTTTTATGAAGTCAGGATTCAAATACCCACTTTCACCATAAAAGTTATTTCATTCACTCTAGAGGATGCCGGCTATGACAGCTGTTGAGTTGAGATCAGTTTACCGGCTGTTGAAAGTAGAACTTTCATTAATCCCTTATTCTTTATTTAAACTGTTCAACACTTACAAGCCCAGATGAAAAAATCACTTTTACAAATCACAGAAAAGGAAAACTGCTTTTTTACATATTCTCTTTAGAGTTACAAAAAATGAATCCTCATCCATTTAGCTAAACAAGGCACTACATATAAAAAACATCCAAAAACTTCACTTCACATTACACTGAATGTCTCTCGTGTGCAGATTCCTAATACTGTGGTCACATCTATCAGCAGAGCTCAAATTCTACTGAACTGAGCAGTTAAGCGTCTCATACCTGCTGACGCATGAAGGAGGCTCAGCATCTGAAACTCATTTCCTCTACTTTCAGTGGGACATTAACTTTTATGTGTTTCTTTGCACGTGTTTCTTCAGTGACACACCTCCTTATTCTAACCAAAATATTAATTATTCCTATTTAACGGTTTAAAGTTCAAGAAACTCTCTCCCAGTAAGAAACCCCCAAATTTAACCTGAGACTTCCTAATTAAAGTTTCTAATTAATGCCACTACTAATTCCAAAACACTGTAAAGTGCACAAGGTGAAGGGATTGTTTTTCCTCATTGTCAGCTGACCACGACCGATCAGGGCTTGCTTTCGGAGCAGCAGCTGAGGTTTGGAACCTTGTCCAGGCCTGCCTACACCCCTGCATGTTTCATTAAACTGATCCACAGACCACACCGTCAGAGCAGACATTCAATCTGTGTGGCTTT